CTGACAAGTACCGACGCTACCTTCTTTTTCAATTTATATAATCTGTCATTGATTTATAATATTCCTTAATTATTTAGCTTTGGAATTTGTTCCCAATTCTGTGAAACTTTGGAAGGCTGCTGTTAATATGGAAGAAAATCCATCAGATGCACGCATTTTGTTGGCACGAGCTACAGAACTAGTCCCTTTATCTGTTGACTTATGGCTAGCTTTAGCAAGACTCGAAAGTTATGATAATGCAAAAAAAGTTCTGAACCGTGCGCGTACTCACATACCTACATCTCACGAAATTTGGATAGCAGCTGCACGACTTGAAGAACAGCAAGGCAATGAAAAGATGACAGATAAAATTATATCTCGTGCTGTTACTGTACTTTCTGAGAAAGGGAGTGTATTGGGTCGAGATCAATGGCTTCAAGAAGCTGAAAAATGCGAAAAAGAAGGTAGCGTCGGTACTTGTCAGGCAATAGTTAAGAATACTATTGGTATGGGGGTAGAAGAACAAGATAAAAAATCAATATGGATGGAGGATGCAGAAAGTTGTATCTCACATGGATCGATCGAAACGGCCAGGGCAATATATGCCCAAGCTCTAAAAACTTTCCCTGGAAAAAAGTCGATTTGGAGGAGAGCAGCATTTTTAGAAAAGTCGCATGGTACAAGGTAAAATACAAATTTGATCAATATTAATAACATTATTGATATTTAATTAACTCAAAAATATTATAGAGCTTCCCTGGAAGAGTTACTTCAACGTGCTGTTAGATTTTGCCCTCAGGCTGAAGTCTTATGGCTTATGGGTGCAAAAGAAAAATGGCTGGCGGTTCGTATTTATTCAAATTCTATATGCAAACCCTTACCATTATTATATACATATTATTAAATTTTCCGATAACATAATATGATATTAAATGTGCACAAAATAATGGTATGCCATTGTAGCTTGTTAGGGCAATTGAGATCTAATATATATTTTTAATGATTCATAGGGTGACGTTGACGGCGCCCGTTTCATTTTAACAGAAGCTTTTAAAGCAAATTCAAATAGTGAACAAATTTGGCTGGCTGCAGTAAAACTTGAAGCAGAAAACGGAGAATATGAACGTGCGAGAATGTTACTACAAAAAGCTAGAGAACAAGCAGGCACAGAAAAAATATGGATGAAATCTATTGTTTTAGAGCGACAACTTTGTAAAATTACCGAGGCATTGGCAATGTTAGATGAAGCATTGAACAAATATGAAACATTTGATAAGCTATGGATGATCAAAGGTCAAATTGAAGACGAGAAAGGAGATTTGCCTGTAGCACGAGAAACATATAGCAAAGCTGTCAAGCTTTGTCCAAAATCCGTTCCTTTGTGGATACTCGCTTCTCGCCTAGAAGAAAAGGCAGGCCTTTTAATAAAAGCTAGAGCTACGCTTGAAAGGGGCCGTCTTTTAAACCCCCAGAATCCAGATTTATGGTACGTTAAAATTGTAATATGCCACAGTTTCAATTTTAAGACGTATCACTTAGCTCAAAATTTTTATACAGGTGCATGTTTGGGATTAGTTGAAATAACTGATTTAAGTAATAAACGAGCTTTTTTGATATCTCTTTATAATATAGCAAACAAATTATTATTAATTAGATATTACATGAAACTTCGTATAAAACATTAATATTGAAACATACCCTATTTCCGCATCACTTTTAATGACAACACTGTTCAAGTCCGTCAAATAGCCTTTTGGATCTACTGTAGTCTGACCACTCACTGAATCTGATATCTGATCCAGCTTCAAACTTAACACCTTATCTCTAGCTTGACCAATTTCTATAAAATTCGTCATCATCCCAGTATCCAAAGATGGTGTTTGAAACCCGCCATATTTCTAATTATTTAATTTCTAGTTAGTTTTGCAGTTAAACTGCGAATTGGATTTAAGACAACAATAAATCTTGCCTGTTGTTGCGCATCCAATTTATTAACATATTGATTCTCTTCTCTAGCCTTTTCAAGGAGTGAGTCTGGAACCGCGTAATATCTATGGAACAATATATTTATTATTATATGAAACAAAGCTTTCAATAAAAAGTTAGACAGTAATAATACCTCTCACGTAAATTCATTTTTTTGCGATTTTTGCCTACAAGATCTCCAACATCAGGGAGATTTGCCCATTCGTCGTCTGTAACAACGGCCAGACCACGCTTCAAGTCGGCGAATTGTTGTTGAATTTTTGGTCTTTCTGCTCGATATTTCTCTAGTTCTTCTTTCTCACGAGCCTCCCTATTGTTTAAACACGGATTTTATTTAATTGACAATTTCACTTAACAATTCAAATTTAGATTCAAACCTTCTAGCTTTCCGTCGTTCATCCATTTTTTGATCAATTGCTTCGTATATCTTATCTGCCTCTTCGTCATCCTCCTCATAAGGTGCAGATGCGAAAAGACCAGTTTCATTGTCTGGATCTTGAAAGCGTTCATCGTCGTCATCGTCGTCTTGTGCTTTCTTTTGTAACGCATCGCTATTAAAATGTCATAAACCTCAATTAATTATAAGATTTAGTCGAGAAGTATAACATTTAGATGAAATACCTGAAATCTGCGGGGCCTTCACGCGCAGGTCCGATATCAGAACGTGTTGTGAATCCAGTTGCACTAAAACGTTAAATTAATTAAAAAATATACTCATTAAAAGATCTATTTTATGATTTAACATACCCTCTACCAAGGCCAGCCACATAATTTGGGGGTGCCTCTTTGTTCATAAAATCCTTCGTGACCGAAAACATTGTAATTATGAGGGAGTATGAATGGACTTGTACAGGATGAATTATCGTTTAATATATATAGGGTTGCTGTCTGAGCGCAGTAATGTTATTCGTGTCACAGAAAATAAGCCGTAAATCGGAGTTTAATCTTGGAACTTGGTTTCGGAATTTTAAATTTAGGTAATAAATATTAATATACTTAAAAAAAAATAAGTTCACAACAATCCACTTCTTATATTTCAATATGTAAAAGATATTGCACAATTGAAAAAAAAATATTAAAAATTTAAATAATATATACAATGTTAAATTTTAATTTTGCAAAATAGACATTATAATGAAATTGAAAATTGAATTAAAGATATCAAATATAATTATATCAAAATCAAAAATTTAAACAAACAATTTAATGTTGAAATTAATAGTTTAAAAAATTATTATAATAATGAAATTTTTGATTTAAAAAACAATTATAACAATTAAATTATAAGTTTTAAATAAGAATATTCTAAAAAAAAAAAATTATTTAAAACAAAATTTAAACAACAATCAACTAACTTAACTATAAAATTATTATTATTTTTATTTTTTTTATTTTTTTTCAGATAAAAGATATTATTATTATTTTTTTTTTTAAGTTAAACGGCATTAGATGCAAGTCTTTATTGATACTAAACATATCTATACAATACATCAAACATCTTCTGTAACTGTTACA